ATCTCTTGGGCGTCCAACCTCTCCCATAATTCTGGTCCAATCTCTGTCACCTCTTGAGTCATTATTGCATTACAATGCTCTCTTGGGTTTGTCACAGTCATTCCTGGAAGATTTTCAGATTGACTATTGCTATCTTCTGTAATCTGAGCAACCTGAGTATCTAGCTTCTTCAGATGAGTGCTCACAGCTTTGTACTTGATGTTAAGATCATTGGACATGTTGTCCATTTTAACATTGATCTCATTAGCAGACTTCTGTTGGTTGAGTAGGAGCTGCTGTATAAGGACCTTGAGTTCATCATTCGTAGACCTCGCATGAGATAGGAATGGAGCTGGTGCTATTGTCTAGAAGTGTTGCAAGGCTGCATCTGCTGAAACCCGTTCTGAAATTTGTAGTTTTGGTTGAATTCCCTGTTTTGCGTAAAGCCATGTCCATTCAAATAACTCACTTCCTGTAACTCATCAGTTTCATCTACAGAAAAATTATGACAGAAAACTGCATTTATTCTCTCCTTAGAAAGTTGCACACCTCTATGTTTCTTTTCAACAGCAGAATCACTTTTGCAGTCAGCTCATCAATTTTCTGTGACTCAGTACTGCTGACACATCTATACCTCTCATATTCTGGGCAGCAATTGTTGGAACTTGCAGACAAGTTCTGTATCAGTTGGTATACTCCTGCAATACTCTGAGTCATAAAATCTACATTTCTTGCAGCATTAAGTTTTTTCTTATATTCCCATTCAACTCAATCGTAGAAGATGTAAAACAGCTGGTAATCTGAATACCCATGGTGAGGGCATTCTCTGTGGTACTCTTTGAATCTATCTCATGCTTCACAAAAGGACTCTTCTGAATGCTGCTGGAAAGTAGTGATCTTGTTTCTCAATGAAGCTGTCTTGGACTTGGTGTAGAAATGATTGAAGAAAGCTTCTTTGCATTAATTCCAGCTTGTCAAAGATCCCAGAGGAAAAGATTTGAGCCACCTCTGTGCTTTATCAGCCCAAGAGAATGGGAAGAGTTTGTACTTGAGGTAGGCAGCAAGTACCCTATTTGACTAAGTAGTGCTACAGATTTCTTCAAAGTTCTCGATTTGGTCCGTTAGAAGTTCAGCAGACAAGCCATGGAACACATGCTGCTCACCAGTGCAATCATCTGAGGTTTAATCTCATAATCTGCTCTCTTAATAGCTGATGTGCAGATAGCAGCTCAGTTCCTATATAAGGTGTGATGTGTCTACATTCTCAATAGCTTGCTGCTCCTGTTGTTGTTATTGTTGATGTAGTAGAATCACTTAAAGCTTTGATTGCACCCACTGAAGCTCTGCAGCTGTGTTAGCATGAGCTTCAAACAGTGCTTGGTCTATGTTATCACCAATTGTGACTTAATTCGACTTCTGTTTCTTTCCCTTCTTGTTAGTTCTTTCTGTTCTTGCAAGTTCCTAGTTGTTGAGAGTAAGAAGGTTGTCAGAGCCTTTACTTCTTCTCTTCATACACATGAATCAACAAAAGTGATAGTAAATCTTAGACTAAATTTCAATCCCAAATTCACAGATAACGCTATTGGTCCTCAGCAACGGCGCCAAAAACTTGATACACAGAGTTTTAACCCTATAGAATTACTGCAAGTGCACAACAGATGTTGTAGTAAAGTAAGTATCGAATACACAAGGACCAAGTGTCACACTGCAAATCTTAATGAATGAAACTAAGCTAAGACAAGAATATGGTTGTTGATTTTAAAATAAAAATAAAATAGTAATTAAAACAGTGTAAAAATTAATTAAAACAAGTGTTAGATCAAGGATAATTCGCAGAAATTTAGAGATCATGAACTAGAAAATTATTCACGGAATGAATTAGAAACCGTTCTAGAACTCAATACACAGATATATAATCAATCAAATGTCTTGGTATCAACTACTTTGTCTAATATTCTAAACTGTATGTTGAATTTAGAATACTGGACAAGCTTTAATTTCGATTTTGATATGTTCACAAAAAGCCTTAACATCAGCTTTTGTTGGCTAAGGACGTTTTGCTCATCTATGTTTTTTCAGGCTTTTAAACAAACATTTTTGGTGCACTAAACAACATAAGCTCATAAACTAGGTAGCTAATGAAGTTTTAAGAATGAGATCAATAATAGATAAAGAAACCACAAGATAATTCCCTATCTATGTCTAATTCAATGATTCATGAACTTCTTTGAAACCATAAATCTAATTATGAATCTACTCAGACATGGAAGTAGAGAACAAGTAAAGAAATGAAAAGAAACTCATAATCAATAAATAAAAAATCCAAAGGGGTTAGAAATCTTTTCAAAAGGTATATAGATTTTTCTCTCCAAGCTTACAAAGCACAATACCTAAAAATATGAATGTAAAATTGAAAGGTTATGGCCTCAACAATGGCCATAAATAAATAAATATATATATAGTTCCAAGTTTTTTAGGTCAAAATAAGGAAAATTACTAAAAACAGCAAAAAATTCTTGCAGGCACTAGAGTGGTTGAACTGCAATATTAGCATCCCCACTTTGGTGCTCTTGTTAGAATAGTTTGCGAAACTAACATGTTTTTACGAAAATTGCCATAACATTCTATCGCACAATTAGATCGATCTTAAACCACTTTGAAATTAAAGTTAATTCAACAATCTAGTTCGTGTCTAAAATTAAGCTCAGCGAATCGATAAAAAGTGTTTTAACGATTGTCAAATTTCAAGTGTCTATATATAATTCTGTATCAACATATATTTATTTGTATCAACAAATAATTTTTTATTTTCCAAAACGTTTTAAAATCTGAAAAACAATCAATAAGAAAAAACGAAAAAACTCTAAAAACATACTTTAACTTGAAAAACTATTGGAAATCTTGAATTAAAAAAATTCAAAAATACAGTATATTAATAATGATGATGATGATTCTAATATTTTGTTGATTGTCTAATAGGAAAATTAATAAGAAGTAATTGACCAAATCCATGGATCGCTTGAACATCATAGATGTAACGTTAGAACTTTGTTCTCTAACGATGGAATGGAACCCACTTTCTTTCTTTGTTCCTGTTTAGTTCATGCCCGACAAAGTACAAATTATTCGCAGAAGAAAGAAGTTCAACCTTATTACCATTGTTCCCACACCATATTTACCTCTTTTACCACTTCTTGGGCCCACACGGTGAATCTTGTAAATAGATTTATATTTTCTTTGTCTTTCCCGGTTTTCCTTAAGTTTTAAAAAATAAGTTTTCCAAATTAATTATTTTAGTTTCCAGTAAACATTTAATTTGTCATTATTTTTTCATAGAAGGGAAATCATATATATATATATATACAATTTAGGGGGATGTACTAAAACTAAAATTTTAAAAAAATTTATAAGATTTGAGTTTTAATGAAATTTTAGATGATATTATGTAAATTGAGGAAGATGATATTATTTGATATTAAAATTATATGAAATCTCACTTAAAACAATAGAATTTAGTTTTTTATATTTTTAACTAACAAACACCACCAAATCATTTAAAAAAATATAATATTTTTTAAAATTTACGATTTACAATATTTCTTATAGCCGTAGATTTGATTAAGTTTTTATAAATTTTTGATTGAATAACATAAATTGTTAAATGATTTTAGTTAGTTTTACATAAATGTTATGTTCAATAATATCAGTTTTGATAAAACATTTAAAATCACTAGTTCAATAGTAGGAATTTTTAAAATAACCATAAAATCTTCTGAAATTTCTAATCAAATACATTCTTTTAATAAAAATATGTTTACACTTTTACCACTTTTTGAGCCCACACGGTGAATCTTGTGAATGGATTTATTTTCTTTGTCCCTTAATTCTTAAGAAATGAGTTTTCCAAATTAAATATTTTAGTTCCAGTAAAACTTTTAATTTGCCATGACTTTTTATAGAAGGGATATCAAATTTAAATCTATTTAAAATATGTTATTTATTTCAAAATTAAAATAACATTCAAATTTCATTCTTTCTTTATTTTTTTTAACATTACAAATTTCATTCTTTTACACAAAAAATTGAATTGATTTTAAAGTATTCAATATATAGCCATATTAAAATTGCCATAACATATTGTTGACTAATTCACTACCCCTTTTCTAAATATATTACTTTGTTTGACAAAAAATGAAACTATTCATATAAGTGGATTATGTGGAAACATAATCAATTCCATTAAATCCAATACTATGGATTTTCAGAGTCACAAAACTCTATAAATATGGTTTGCCATCACAAGAAAAACCCAGCACAAACTAAAATTACATTTATCTTCAAATTCATAGATTTGTGCAAAGACAATTTTTGTGAAGGTACGTGCACATAATCTTATCTTTTTTATTTTATACCATTCTAATTGGTAAAGTATATGCATGTACTTATGACTATTCATTATTATTAAAGTCATATTCATAGTCATATTTTTTTAAAAAAGAGCCTAATCATATTCATTTTTTGAAGTATGCATGCTGTGCTATCACGTTTTTTTTTTCAGAACGTAAACCAAAATATATAATTAAAAATAGATTTATTCGTGAATGGTTTTTTTTTAATATTAAAAAAACACCAATTCATAGGGTTTTTTAGAGGAAAAAAAATATATATATATATACTAAATAAGACTATTTACCTTCTTATGACTAGAGATCTTATCTATTTCTTCCATAAAAGTTACTCTGTTGCTAATTGCTGACAGAGACCGGATCAAATGAATCGGCGAAACTTCTGAACTCTTATAAGCTTCTGACCGAAATATTGAACCCAACCCAAATCGTCACCCAAAAAAAAGAGAGCTATTTAACATTTAGATGTCGGAAAAAAAAAAAAAAAAAAAAAAAGACAAAATAAAAGGGTCAATTCGTTCTAAAAACAAAATCTAAGGATGTCTTTGTCAAGAAAAGTAAGATGCTGGTTGAGTTCAAAAACGATTAAACAAAGCCAAGAAAATATTAAAAAGCGAGAGGAAGGTTTTTGTAAAATTGTTTCCTTTCTGTAAAACGTAAAGATACGTGAGAGAGAGAGAAGAAGCTTTCTTTAACAAGTCGTGAAGGCTCTCCTCGAGCGATGCGTTGAAGGCGAGAGAGTGACAATAAAAATGGCGAAAATATCTTTCCTCTCTTCTTCTTATTCTTCTTCATTTTCCTCTTCTTATAAAGAAAACCAACACGATCCTCATTTATAAAACCTAGATTTCTCTTCTTCGATCTGTGAAAACCAATTTTGTCCTAATCGGTAAAACCGATTTTCCTCTTCTACCTTGCCTGCATTCCCAATTTCTTCCCCTGATTGTTTGCTTTTTCTGTGGAAATTTTTAAAAATCATTCTGATTGAGATTCGTTCTCGTTTGTTCGATTCTTCTTCTATTGGTTGCAGAGATGGCGGAGGCGACGAAAGTTCTGTACTTGGTGGTGGTCGACGACGAGGTTAAGGCGGCGGCGATTCGAGATGGTAATGGGGAGGATTCATTTAGGTATACGCGTCCTGTATTGCAGAGTACTCTTCAGCTCATGGGATGCAAGGCGCGTCACGCCTTCAAGGTGATCGCGATTATGCCTTTTGTTTTTCTTATAATGACGATTTGGTGGTTTTAACTTTCGATTGCTTATTTCTTCTCCGGAATAAGTTTCTCTGTTTTCATCCGAAATTGTGAATCTAAGTTGGACATTGTAGCATTGATGTTGTTTCAGTGATGTGTATGGATCTAGATAGGAGTTAGCTCCTACTGTCTCGTGCTATTCTTGGTTGATTATGTTTACAGTCTCTATTTTGGAAAATTTTGTATGCTGTTGAGCTTTCTGCTTTTGGGAATTGGGATATCCATTGCACATCTTTCTTGGTGTTTTCAGTCATCAATGTCTATCATAATCTTTATAGTATATGGTAAGGACATGAGTTTCCTTAAAACGCAATTGTAATTTTCAAGGTTAGAGTGGTTTCTAGTGAGTTGTGCTGTATGTAAAATCTTTTGCTTTCTCTGCCATTTTTGTTTTGCTTTTTGGTTTAGGGATAAGGAGTCTTTCATTCGTTGATATATTACTAATAATCTGTTTTTATCACTTTCATTCTCTGGTGGCAGATCAGCCGCAGGGTTTACGAGTTAATAAGAAGTGAGGGATCTTGTAAGTCCTCACCAGAGCCTGGGAAGGAGCCTGAATTTGCAAAAAGAGGTGGTGGTTCAAGCTGTGTAGAGAAAGCTAACTGTTTGGTTGCTGATGATGTTGACAAGGACAAAAGCAAACCATTTGAGATGTACAAGAGACGCACTACTGTTGTTGTTTCGCGACAAATATTCCTGGATGTTGTGTGTGATTGCCTGGCTGAATATAAGTACGTTGGCCGTGACCAAAGGGCAGATTTGATTCTTGCATGCAGGTAAAATTTCTTAACTTTTGGAATATAACTTGATATGTATTGTCAAAAAAAAAAAAGTGAGGGCATATAGAATTTGCATATGTCTGCTGTTTATGTCATATTCTGTTCTTTAAAATGCATAAAATTTAAATTATGTGCCTTTCAAAGATATTCTTTAGGCTTACTAGCGTATCTATTTGATAGAAAATAGTAGTCAGAATGAATTATATTGATTGGCCATTAGCAATATGATCAGGCACGTATATTTTTCTTTATGTTCAAAATCATAGCTGAATCTGATCTCGCTATTCCAATATGTCAATTGTTCTCTCTTTTTCTTTCTCACTAGGGACTTTCACATAGTTAATTGTATTTGGGTTATGGTTGACTGTATATTAAATGTTATGCTCACGCTTAACTTCATACTTTACCGCATTAATCCCCGTCACTGCTACTAGCACCGCTGTATGTTGATTTGTTATACATGCGACTTTATTGTGCCTCGGGTTTGCTATTAACCACTCGTATGACTTGCCCTAAAAGTGTAGTCTTTCTTCATTTATCTCACACATTGTCTACAACTCTTGTTATCACTTGCAGAATCCGAGAAAGGAAAGAATCTGTAACTGTTCTGCTCTGTGGCACCAGTGGCTGTGGTAAATCTACATTGTCTGCATTGCTGGTAATATTCATTTCCCTCCGTTTATATACTTTGGATTGACAATAAAAAGCTCTCTTCCTTTTTTAGAGGTATACAATTTTTTGATGTGTGATCAGATGCAATTTGTAAATATTTGTGTTACAGGGTAGTAGGCTGGGGATTACGACTGTGGTATCAACTGACTCTATAAGGCACATGATGAGGAGCTTTGCTGATGAGAAGCAGAACCCTTTACTATGGGCTTCAACGTACCATGCTGGAGAGTACCTTGACCCTGTGGCGGTTGCTGAGTCGAAAGCCAAAAGAAGAGCCAAAAAGTTGAAAGGCTCTCGAGTTTTAAACTCTAATTCCCAAAAGACGGTCGCTGGCTCAAGCTCGAGCACCACTGAGTTGTTAAGTGATAAGCAGATGGCTATAGAAGGGTATAAGGCACAAAGCGAGATGGTGATTGACAGTCTCGATAGGCTCATTACAACATGGGAAAAAAGGAAAGAATCTGTAGTCGTTGAAGGTGTCCACCTAAGCCTTAACTTTGTGGTAAGTCTTATCTATGTCTCATTTACACATTTTGATTTGAGTTTTTCAATCTAACTTCTTTCCTTTTCTGCAGATGGGACTGATGAAGAAGCACCCTTCGATTGTTCCCTTCATGGTATACATTGCCAACGAGGAGAAACACTTGGAACGGTTCGCTGTCCGAGCAAAGTACATGACATTGGATCCGGCGAAGAATAAGTATGTAAAATATATACGTAACATCAGAACGATACAGGATTATCTATGCAAACGAGCTGACAAACATCTTGTGCCTAAGATAAACAACACAAACGTCGACAAGAGCGTGGCTACAATCCACGCGACGGTCTTCAGCTGTCTGCGTAGACGCGAAGCAGGAGAGAAGCTCTATGACGCAACCACGAACACCGTTGCTGTTATCGACGACGAGCACAGGAACCAGTGTGCAGCCAATTCGTTAAGTTCGAAAGGAATGTTTCAACTGATCCAAAGAACAGGCTCTTCTAGGCGTTTAATGGCTCTTCTGAATACTGACGGCACTGTAGCGAAAACTTGGCCTGTTGGTTCCGTTAATGATATGGAGAAGCCAGTCTTTGGCACTGAGATGGATGATGGAACAGAGCATCCCATTTATGGATACTTACAGAAAGCTGAACCGGTGAATCTTCAGTTCGGTCTCCTTGGTGTCAGCGCTTGGCCTAACGATGGCGCAACTAGTCACGCAGGGAGTGTAGACGAGTCGAGAGCAGATTTTAACGAAACCGGAAGTAGACATTACTCTTCTAGCTGCAGTTCGCCACGTATATCTGATGGGCCTTCGAAAGAGGTAAAAATCTACGCTGATTAATGTGTAAAAAACATGTTATGAAGATTGTTTGATCATGTATATGTCTTTTGTATAGCGTAAGGCGGAGCAGTCTGTAGATGGAAGCGATGAAGATGAAGAAGTCGATGATGATTTCGCGGAGCCAGATTCTGATGAAGATTTCAGCGATAACAATGACGAACGAGACCGTGAAGAGGTATAAAACAAAATCTAGATTCATTGGGAGGATGTAAATGATATTGTATCTTGTTCTTAGTGTATCAATACTCTTTTACATGTAATGTTAAACCAGGTTGGATCTGTGGATGAGGAATCGACAAAGTCAGATGAAGAGTATGATGATCTGGCAATGCAAGACAATAGTTACTGGACAGACAACGAAGAAGAAGAGTCACGAGATACAATCTCCATGGTGTCTGAAAACAACCACAAGGAGGCTACAACAAAGCCCATCAAAGACGACAAATACATGCAAAACCTCGACCTTTTCCTCAGGACAGCGAACCAGCCATTGACTGAATCTATTGAGCTCACGTCTGAGTACAAGAACAGAATGGTTGCAGCTGTCTCGGATAAAGCGAAGATGAGGAAACGTTCACTTAGTATTCCGGCTGCGGTCGGGAAACATGGTTCGATCATTGATGACCATCAGATTTTGGCTAACCAGACTGATCCAATTATTTTGAATGCCCCGTAGAGAACTCTTTGCCTGTGTATTTTTTTTCTTCCGGTTTTGTGTTTTAGCCTTTTAGATAGCTTTAGGTTTCCCAAAACTGATTGAAGTGTTTTAATTATAATTTTCTGTTTTTTTTTTCTTCTAATTGTATTCTTTTTTTTCTCCACCATATTTCAACAGTTACTTTATTTCATTATATTGTACTAAGGTCATGTTTTCTTTGTAGGTTTCCACCAGATTCTCATATAAGTCTCGCATCACAGATTGAGGATCACACTTCTTACTTCATGAAATTCTGGCTAAGCTAGAGTCTTTATCCACATTCCCATCAGATGAACTGTTAGAATTAGTATCAATTTTTTTGGCTGATCTAAATAATGCCACAATATTAGATAAATCTTCATCATGTGTATCTTCTTTGTTGTGAGGTATAGGATCCTTGCAAAACCAGTCTTAATTTTTCTTTTCATGGCTGTAGGACAATCTGACTTATAGTGACCAAAAGCCTCACATTCACGACACTGGATTCTCATCTTCCGTTTGTCTTCAACTCTTTTCAAAACCTGTTCAACTTTCTTTTCCATTAGATCCATGAGGCCTTCTATCTTATAAGACGTTATGCCATCTTAACTACCACTATCTAAACAAGCATTGATTTATGTTGAGTTGTTTGATCCATCAGAAGGTAAATCTAACTCATTGACCTGCAATTTTTCCCACTACATCATTAAAAGGCATACTCTATGTATCAAGTGCGACTTCCATCACAGTCTTTACTACGTAAAATATCTGAGGAAATCCCCTCAACAGCTTCTTGACCAACTTCATATTCTTGTATATCTTCCTAAGAACATGTGTTTCATGTGCCATGTAACATATTCTACCACTAAATCCAGCAATATCTTCATTGGCATCCATCCTCATAAGTTCAAATTTAAAAGCGAGAGTATTTAAACTTGTGCGTTTGACACTTGATGTTCTTTTAAAAATATTTTACGGAGTATCCCACACTTTTTTCGCTGAAGTACAACCTTGAATCATCTCGAAATAATCTTATGAAGCAGTGATATATCATGGTTTTTATGGTTTTTAACCATGATATAAGTCCTTTTTATTGAGTCTTTTTGGTCTTTTTAGAGTCCTAGAAGAGTCTTTTTAGGTTATAGCATGTCTGGAGCATAATTGGAGTTATTGGAACCTTTTGGAGCATTCTGAGTTGAAGCCACGAAGTACCAAGCTCGAAGAAGAAAGTATGCCGTATGGTGACGCTCGTCACCCATCAAGGAAGGAGCGTGGCTGTTTATTAAAAGATGGAGCAATATTTACAGAATTGGCCCAGAAGTTTCATTATTTACAAGAAGACCCCAGATCGTGTTTAGCCTCTATTTATTAGGTTTTTCAGCCATTGTTGGATATTATCTTAGTTTCTGAGAATTCAGAGAGCCTAGAGAGAGATTTATTCAGAGCTTTTTGGGGAGACAAATCATGTACTCTTTTGAGAAGATTTCGAACCCCTTATTTCTTTTACTCTTTCTCTTAATGCAATATTATTTAGTTATGTTTTGTGATTTCATAATCATGTCTAAGTAATCTGCTAGTTAAGTTAGGGCTTTTCAAGGGTTGATGAAGAGATTGTAGAATCGCTATCTGTTAGGAATATCTTATGGTTTTTCATCTCTGGTTGCTTTAAATTCGATTTTCTGAGACACATCATCTAGGAATCCAAAAATCATAGGTTGTTAAATATATGTGAGAGCATTATTCATAACCTGAACTAGTCTTTGATGAGCAAAATAACTTAGTGCAAAGAGATTTAGCTTAGGAGTTTTGTAAACAATTGAATCTGATCATTCCTGCATGCTTAGGTTGTTAGGATTTGCAAAGAGATTTGAAACTCTGTGATTTAGGCATAGATAACTTCTGCAATGAGAATTGATTAGTTATACATCAGTGATTCATGTTTAAAACGGTTCTTAATCATTCCTGATTTCATGCATTCTACATTCTTGGATTCAACCTGCGAACTGTCTTGACTTAGCGCTTTTAGTCTTCTGAAACTTAGATCAACTTACAAAAATCGTTTGCTTACTTTATTTATTCATTCACTTTACATACATAATATTCTGCTTAGCTTAATCCGAACCTACACTCGATAGTGTAGTTTGTATTACTCTCTTGGGATTCGATACCCCTTGTACTACAACTGCTTTTGCTGTGCACTTGCAGTAGTTTTATTTGGGTAAAACCTGACCCTATCAAGTTTTTGGCGCCGTTGCCGGGGATCGAACCCGGGTCACCCGCGTGACAGGCGGGAATACTTACCACTATACTACAACGACCTGTTTATGCTTTGAATGATCCAAAAAGGCCCTGGTATGCAGATATTGCAAACTACCTTGCTGCAGAGGATGAACCACATGACTTCAAAGGTTATGCTAAGAAGAAGTTTTTAAGAGAGCTTAGGATATTCTATTGGGATGAGCCATATCTCTACAAGAATTGTGCTGATGGGATCTACAGGAGATGCATAGCAGAGGAAAAAGTGCAGGATGTCCTCTTTCACTGTCATGGATCAAAATATGTTGGACACTTTGCCACATTCAAAACAGTCTCCAAGGTTCTTCAAGCTGGTTTTTGGTGGCCTACTATGTTCAGAGACGCCCAGGCCTTTGGTACAAGCTGTGATACTTCTCAGAGAAGAGGAAAAATCAGCAGGAGACATGAGATGCCACATAACTTCATTCTGGAAGTAGAAGTCTTTGATTGTTGGGGTATTGACTTCATGGGACCCTTTCCCTCATCTTATGGGAATAGATACATTCTGGTTGCTGTTGATTATATATCTAAGTGGGTAGAGGCGTTGGCTACTCCTACTAATGATGCTGCAGTGGTTTTGAAGTTATTTAACACCATTATCTTCCCCAGATTTGGTGTCCCGCGGATTGTCATAAGTGATGATGGTTCTCACTTTGTCAACAAAGTTTTTGACAAGCTACTGAAGAAGTATGGTGTACAGAACAGAGTAGCCACGCCCTATCACCCCCAAACCAGTGGCCAAGTTGAGGTTTCCAACAGGCAGATCAAGCAAATTCTGGAAAAGACAGTTGGGAAGACAAGGAAAGATTGGTCTGCAAAGCTGGATGATGCATTATGGGCTTACATGACATCATACAAAACGCCACTTGGGACTACACCATTCCATCTTCTCTATGGCAAGGCATGCCATCTACCAGTAGAGTTGGAATTCAAAGCAGAGTTGGCCATCAAGAAGCTGAATTTTGATCTAAAGCCCGCTGCAGAGAGGCGTTTGATTCAGCTCAATGAACTGGATGAGATCAGATATCTGGCCTATGAAAACTCCAAGTTATACAAGGAGAGGACAAAGACATATCATGATAAAAAGATCATCTCCAGACATTTCGAGCCCAATGACCAGGTATTACTTTACAACTCTCGTTTACAGCTTTTTCCTGGTAAATTGCGTTCTCGATGGTTAGGTCCCTTCACTGTCAAAGAAGCTTGCCCACATGGTGCAATTGTCCTGATTAACTCCAAAGGAGAGGAGTTCACTGTCAATGGACAAAGGGTGAAGCATTACTGGGCACAAGCAGAGATTCCAACATGACAAATTGTGTCACTGGATGATGCACCAACTGTCTAAACAGCCAACCAAAATCAAGCTAATGACTTTAAACAAGCGCTTAGTGGGAAGCAACCCAATGGTAAGTTGTAAATATTGTACTTAGTTTTTATTTTCGTGCTTATGATTAATATTTAGATTTCATTGAAAAAAAAAAAAGCCATGACCAAACAAAAAACGGGTGACGCTCGTCACCCGTCCGAGGCGAAGGTACGCGTTTATTCTCTTCTCTTCTTCTTCCTCGATCATAACTGTTAAAACAACAAACCATAGAGCAAACTTGAGAATTTCATAACTTTTGATTTTCTAAACCCAATTGAGTGATTCAAGAGCCTAATCCATGCGGATTTTGCTCCTCTTTCTGAATATCAACTCGGTTTTTAAGATCTGCAAGGTATGTGTTCGAAATCCCCAATTTTCAGTCCGCCATAGGTTTGGTAAAATCCGATTTTTGACTTGATTAGCTTGATTTAACTGTTGAATCATGGTTAGTTCGGTTGTATTAGAGGAATGAAACCATCTATGTGAGCTTTTATCGGTTGATTTGCAAGTTTTAAATTTTCGAGTTCATGATGAAATTTGCAAAAATCTGGAAATTTTGGGTGATTTGGGTTGAACTGATGCTTGAATTGTGTTCCTGGTAGTGTTGTAGTTGATCGCCATCAATTATTTCACCTTGATTGATTGATTTTTCGAATTTTGAAAGATTTGCTAATTTTGGTGATGTTTTTGGTCGATTTCGAACTTGAATTTTCAGATGCCTAGACAGGAGAAACGACCAAGGCAAAGCTCGTCTTCAAGCACTGCAACATGGTCTACGGATTCCTTCAGTCAACACCCGGTTTGCAGGCCCCATGGGCCAAGCGAGAAGATCGGAAAATAGCCTCCGGAGTGGCTTGGGCAGGGACTCCGAAGCATGAAATATCACGGGACACTTGCATATTCCGTGATATCCAGGAGGAATGGGATTAGTATGACACGCTGTTCTACAATGCGTGGCTGGGAGTGAAGAATGTTCCCACTCAATTCGCAGATCCTACTGTTCTGCAGAAGATGGGCATCTTCGAGGAGATTTCAAAGATTCTCCATGTTGAGCTCCAAGAACCGGTTTACATGGTTAGATGTAAAAAATGCCTTCCTCCATGTTGAGCTCCAAGAACCGGTTTACATGGTGCAGCCACCGGGATTGGAAGATCTTGCTCTTCCCAACCACATCTGCTCTTTTCATAAAGCTCTTTACGGATTAAAATAAGCTCTGAGAAGACCAATTTGCGCCACGACAAATTCACATCAAGCCCAACAACTGAAACACAATTTACAAGTTCCAGGGGATCCAATTGTCACCTGCAACAAAAAGGAAAATCTTTATCGTACAACAGAGGAAGTTGTTTGCATTGAGCAACAAACCTGCCGAAAAGGAATGTGCTTCTGTACTATCTAGCCATTATGATCCCCTCTTATCCCTAGATAGTTCCTAGATGCTTGACATTTGTAATATAATCCTGAATTAAAGGAATTAGGTCTAAAATATTCTCTAAATTGTACAAAAAAGATATCTTGTAATCGATAATGTGAGTTGAAATAGAGTTACGTTTCCAGTCAAAAGATATACTTTGGATTATTGACAGTACTCGTGAAAATTCCTTTAAAAGAATGAGAGTGTATCAAGTTCTTCTAAATAAAGAATATACGACATAGCTTTATAATGTATAAATAAATGTATACATTTTCACGTCTGTTATTGTTGTTTAACTACCAAAACAGAAACCCTAGAGTCGAGATCTCTAGCAGCTAACAAATCTCCGATGACACCTAACTCTGACAGTTCGATCCACTCCGTGAGCCCCGAGAAGTCTACTATTCCCGTGCCATGATCTCTCCCAACCACCATAAGATCATAATCCTTAGAGAGCGATCGGATAGTTGTGGCCACTTCAGGACCACACGTCACAATCCTCTCTGTATATCCAATACAATTTGTAGCCTCTATATCTTTCAGATCTTCTAAAACCTCGTGATCAAGAATGCATTCCCAATTCGTCTGCTCTGTTTCTTGGTTAGAGACAAATCTTATCACACTTATAGTAACCATTGGGTTAATCTTCATCCTCTTCACCAGTGAAAGTGCCTCACGATCGTCTTTGCCTCCAATGAATATCACACCTACATCAATGTTGTACTCTCTCGTGTCCTTACACGAGAAATTTCCACGATCCACGAGTATCCCAACAGAACAAGGCGTGTGCTCGAGTAAGGACACGTTGAGACGCCTTATGGCCTCGTTGTCTGATTCAAACGCCCCATCTATGGTCCATTTCCTCCCGGATGGAATGATAATCATCGACGTGGTCTGATCAAGTGCGAGGGTGCAGATTTCATCGTGCATCAGATTCTCATGTGTGAAGGCAGTGAATATGCTCATGTTTACCGAACTCAACTGGCTAAGGCAAGGTTTGCGGTATGGATGTAGGAGTTAGTCATCTGTTTTCTTGAATTCTTGTTATGCGAGATCATAATGGGGATAACTTTTCCTACAAGCTTCATGAGGTGTAGGACCGTGACCATGATGGGGTGTTCTTTGTTCGGCGAGGAAAATAGTTGGAGGAGTTTAATGGCCCCAGAGATGTTCTCAGGTTTGTGCACACAAGTTAGAATCCGGAGATCTGAGTTTGGTTTGAGACTCAAGATGTTCCTTTTTTGGTAACTAATATACTTCCGCTTTGGATTATACAAACTGGTCAACACCGCAGGGACAATACCAGAATTTAGTAGCGCATAAACTATCAGAAATGTGTATGTTGCCTGCGATATATACTGCACAAAGTAATAATAATAATAATAAATTAAATAAACATGTATTTAATTTAGTATTTGGAGTGGTTTATAAGAAAACGAAAAACTTTGTATTATTCAAACATGAATTTTAAAAAAAATTATTTAAAATTGTATCATTGAACTAGTGATTTCTAAATTTAATTACCAACAAATTCATTGTTGTTATTGGAAATATTTTAAACACTGCATTTAAGAAAATTTTAAATAATTTTTAGTTGTTTAATTAGAATTTTCTAGAGAAATTTTATATAATTTTGATAGAAACTTTTAAGAATTTCCAAATTCATCCGAATCACCTAAAACTCAATTAAACACAAATCTTTCCAAAAATTAGATTGAAAACACCAAAAAAAAAACAAAAAAATCATAGTAGAGTATTATAAGAAAGATTGCTTTGTGTGGGTGAAGGGGATTACCGAATCGTCGAGTGTTGATTCATAGAGAAAGATTTCGGAGAAACTCTTGCAGCTTAAGAGGATGGAAATGGCAAAGGCCTCATTGAGTGGTAACTTGCAGTACAAGCAAGGTGCGATGCCAGCGGCTAGTTTCAAAGCGAGCGTTAGAGCCGTTAAGAACATGTTGTACCTTATGTCATCAAACTCGTATATGATCTTCATTATGTCACATCTCATCGTACTGAATGCGATTGCAATCGGTAATAGCACGTCCATAGTTAAATCATAATACTTGGCTTCCAAGGCAGATCCTAAAGGTGGGCCGCCCGGTATGATGAGGCCGACCGTGAATGGTCCCAACAGGTATTTCATATTGAAGAACGAGGAGTAAGCGGCAGAGCCAAATGCACTCAGAATCACAACGTGTATATACATATTCGCCACAGGTTTGCCTTCTGGCGTACGATCTACTATCCATTCTACGACCGGCCTAAAAATGAAAAAGACGATCAGAAAGAAGACGATCACGGCTATAATGTCACGATAAGCTGTTGCGTGGGAGACATTCTTGTAGGTTCCTGCGGCATAAGCGAGTATGCTTACAATGATCCCGAGGACGTCGTTGATCATGGCTGAAGACAATACAAGACGACCTAGCTCTGAGTTAAGGATTTTGAGTTCGGAGAGGACGTAAGTGACGGTGGGCAAGAGAATTGAGGATTGACTTGAGATAATCACAATGCGCTCGGCGAGGACTTTCTTTGGTGGCATGTAGTAAGGATCGATATTGTCTGTGTAGAGGTTTCGGAAACAGAAGCCGCCGAATAGAGGAACGGCGAAGGTCAAGATCCCGATCACGATGGGCAATGGCCCGCTGTTGAATGCTAATCGACGGCTAATTCTAACTGACATTAAGAATGCAAGCATTATGTTTCCACACACTCCGACGTCTCTTAACGCCGCGCTTCCATCCAACGCGGGATCCAAAGATAGCTTTTCCGATAATTTCTCCAGAAGATCAAACAGTTGAGGCCCAAGAATCAAACCAGCCTGAACATATTATTAATTGTTATATTTTTTAAAAAAATATTTAAACTGTCTTGAATAGGAGGTATAATACAAGAAAACACTGGATTTGCGAGGGATGAAATCCGTCGTGATTGAAATTATCTTGAATAGCAAGCATGGTCGTTAAATATGCGGCTTAAAGCTTTTACGTGCTTGTTAAGTTACATATATTTCTATTATAATAGTCATCAGTTTCTTACGTGTATATCACGCTAGACATGAAAGGATATTTACCATGAAATAGGAAGCGATCTGGGAAATGCCGATGCATCTGAAAAACATGTGAGAGAAGACGATGGAGATGAATATGAGTAATATCTGAATCTCCAGGAGAGGGAGTGAATAGCCGAAAACCGGATATGGTGATTTTAGGTTCTCCCATAATCCAAAAGATGAGATGTTGAAAATTAAGGATCTGCAACCACCAATATAGGTCGTTGTATTCATAAATAAGGCCAAGAAACGAACGAAACTATAGGATTTGGTGTCTCAGACTGGGATTTTATTTATTTAAAAATTCAAAGAAAAAAAAACTATAAAGAACGTGTGAATCTTTGGAAATAGACGTGTAATTTTCGTTGTTTAGTTTGTTTTGGTCTTTAGAGTTAGTTAGTCAGAAACTGTTTGGATTTTGGGCGGATATGATTTGCTGAATTAAACACATTAAATTCAGATAGTTTTATCATGTTTAGTTTGCTGGCAACAATATCTACCTGGAAGTAATGGAATCTCAAATTTAGAAACACGCTTCCACGCATTAAAAACAAAAATTTCTATCACTTGTTAACTATAATCTACTCCAATAGGGAGGATTTTCTTCCTTGTTAGAAAAAAGAAAAAGTTAAGTTTGATATAACAATATCTTTTCTGTTGACAAATAAATTTTTTTTTTTTCTTAACCGTTTAAAAAACTATATTTTTCTTATAGTAATCTTGAAGCTTCGGCTAAAAACTCCGACTCCAGAAACTTTTACCAACCACGGTAACTAAGTGTTAGAAGGGAAATGAGCACATTTTTAAAAGGCTTTCTTTAGCAATAACATAAGTCCATCAAAACTAGGGGGACCGCGCCGATCTAGATCGGATAAAAAAAAAATTCCTAAGGATAATCTAGGAAGTCCAGAAGCATCACATCGACTTAGAGGATAAAAAATAACTTCCATATTCTTCGAAGAATAAGAGATAATTCCATATCGCAAATATGAAAATATTCACCAAAGAGAAAAAGAAAAAGGAGTTCGGAGCAACCAACCTCTTATCCCTATAAATAAGAAGACTCTGAAGCTCAAGAGAACAACTCATACAATCTAGAGAGCAGCAGAGCTAAAACCAGGAACTCCAGCGCTTTCTAGCTTACTTCGCAAACACTTTCTTTTCATCTCGGCATAACCTCTCGGTTAAGCCATCTCTTGTAAGATAAAAAAAAAACATGGGTTATTCTGGCCTAGAATGATCCAAGATTGCGAACAATTCGTACTACGGTGCGAATCGTGTCAGAAACACGCGTCCATCATCAACACACCTACTGAGCTCCTTTTAACCGCCGTTCCACCGTACCCCTTCATGAGGTGATCAATGGATGCAATCGGCCTGATGCCTAAGTCAGGTCGCAACCAACACATCCTGGTGATGACGAACTACTTTACAAAATGGGTTGAAGCTAGAGCATACACCAGCATTAAGGTAATCGACGTCCAGCTTTTCGTATGGGAAAACATCATATACCGGCACGGCCTCCCATACGAAATCGTCACAGAAAATGGCACGCTGTTTACCTCGTCAATTTTCCGAAATTTCTGTGAGGGTTGGGAAATACACATAAATTACTCAACACCTTGTTATCCACAAGGAAATGGACAACCAGAGGCTTCTAATAAAACCATTCTCGACGGTTTTAAGAAGCGGCTAACAGACCTAGAGGGGAGATGGGCAGATGAACTGGAGGGGGTCCTCTGGTCCCACCGAACGACTCCACGAACTGCAACATGAGAAACTCCTTTTTCTCTGTCTCACGGCTGTGAGGCATTAGCACCCGCCGAAGCGCATGTGCCGAGTGCTCGAAGAACCTTAATGGTTCAGAATCCACAACTAAACGATGAAAAGCTAATCAATGCTCTGGATGGCTTAGAAGAACTTCGCGATAAAGCTTTATTGCGCATTCAGAACTATCAGCAACAAATCTATAGATATTACAACAAGAAGGTACGCAGCTGATTGTTCTCGCTTCATGACCTTGTTCTACGAAGGGTTACGAACCCGACAAAACTTAAAGTGAACTGGAAGGGACCATATCGCATCACGCACATCGTCAAACCCGACATCTACAAACTGGAAAAGATGGATGGAAAACCGGTCAAGCGAGCACAAAATTCGATGAAAAGGAAGTACTACCCTTAGAGAACACAGCTCGGTATTTAAGTTTGCAATTGTTGCCAAGAACTACGAATGACTTGATCCCGTTTGGATACGTAGGCAGCCTTCGGGTTCAGTCACTATCCTAATAAAATTACCTTTAACTTTGTTAACCAGCTTAACGTTCAAAGTAAAGGATAGCTACTGGTCCAAATCGACCATAAAAAAGCTCGGCACATAGAGTAATATTTCCTTATGCGAATGCATTTTGCTGAATCGATGTTCGGGCCAAACATTCGATTTGAAAAAAGCAAAAGCAAAAATTAAATTAGTGGCTGATCACCAGTCATTTGATACTTCGGTTCGATTTAATTACTTCCAAAGTAGATAAGACGAAAGCCAAAGACAATACTCGCACGACCCTTGATCATACCTTTCAGGCTGAAGTGAATCCTAGAAGCTTGGTATTCAATCTTGATTGTCGTTTGGTATAAGACGAGCAAATGAATCTCGCTTCCAGCACCGGCCTAAAGAATGCCCCCGTACCGCAAGACAAAAGATTTTTTTTTGACTTCTCAAAACCCTCGAAGATAAGGGTCACCTCGTCAACAAGCAAAACCAAAAGCATTACGATATTATTTTGATCTGAATTACTTCATTTCATTAAAAAAGGAGAAAACGTTTATCTCGCATACATTTTTCAAAAAAAAAGAAGGGGACAAAACAACAACTATGAAAATCATTACAAAAAATAAAATAAAAGAAGAGAAAAGAAAAAAACTCAACGCCGCTTTGGCACTTGAATCCCGACTGCCTCCAACTCCGAGTTAGAAGGTCGCATATAAACTCGTGTCGGAGCAGCGAAGTCGTCCTGAGTAAGCGGAGCATTTTTGATCCTGTGACACTCTATGTTCAAACAGTCGGCATTAGCAGAATGGGACAGATGTTCCTTAACCTGAACCTCGTGTCCCGACGACCTCAGCTGCTTGTAGCAATCCGCTCTCGCCTCAGCATCAACGATCTTAAGCTCGAGCCACTGGATGTCGGGCTCCTGCGCCATAAATGCCTTAATCCGCTCAATGCGGGGGTCGTACCACTCCCGCGAACATCGGTACATCAGGTCGACAACATGCTCAACAGACTTGCGTTGTTGACCTCGAAACTCCTTCTCGGCGGCAGCTGCTTTCTTGGTTTCTTCGGCCGCCCTCTTCTCCAAACTTTCCCTGTGGAGTTGTCTTTCTTTAGCAGATTTTACTTTAAGAGCCTGATATTTAAGCTCCACACCAAGCTTCTCGCGCTCAAGCTCTTTGATCTTCGCCAAAGCGTCACGGAGCTCTCGATCTTTGACTGTTCGTTCCTTGTCTTTTTTCACTTCCCGCACCAATTCTCGGTCATCAGAGTCAATCAAAGATGCGCACAGGCTTAAACCCTGCACGAAACGCTGAGCCATTCCAGAAAGCAAGCGAACGGCTTCAGCTTTTCCACCGACCTCTCTTGGTTCAGCTTCACCCTGCATTGCCAAACCAGATTCGCTGTAAAATATTCATTAAGCATCGCCGGGGAATCCCCGCTCCAGCGAAGCAAGAACTCGTGAGGATTGAAACCGGGATCCTCATCGACATCCTGGCAGGTTAGTTTCTTGCTCCTCCGCCGTCACAAAGACGGAGTCTTGCTCCTCGATTGGCAATTCAACCTTCGGATCCTCCGTTGGGATTCTTGGAGATGAGCGGGTGTCTGTAACAGCCACATCAGGCTTATCCAGGAAAATATCTCCAACGACGGTTGGATCCTCGACGGAGCCTCTGATCTGGGGTTCTTGTACGGAGAGAAATCGGGGATGTCAATGTCTAATGAAGAAATTTTGTCTCTCTTCCCTAACCTCATGCCTCTAAAAGGATATGCTCAACTGAGATCTGAAATCAAAAGAAGAAGAGAGGAGATCGTCGAGAAAAGAAGATTATCGTGGAGAAGAATCAATCTGAGGGAAATAAGTTAGAAGACGAAGAAATAAAATCGAAAGAAATATCAACAGTTTCCTAAAAGGACGCGTGTCAAGATTCGTCGTCTGATAAACCTTTCGCCTTTCCTGCTCGGAGTAAAACCCTAATGGATCGAATATTTAATAAATTTGTTAAAGCGCCACGTGTCGAATCTACTTAAACTCGGGCCAAGCTGGCCATCGCGAAGACACGCCCTTGACGAACTAATGGTTACTGCAAGCTCAAACCCGCTTAACTTCATGAAGTCCGCCAATCTGATTTACAATCAGTCTCGCCGAACTGGGGGGGGGGGGGGGGTGGCTTAGAGGGGGAAATGAGCACATTTCCTAAAAGGATTTCTCTACCAATAACCTAAGCCCATCAAAACCTGGAGGACTGCACCGACCTAGCTCAGGTAAAAGGAAAATTCCTAAGGATAATCAAGGAAGTCCGAAAGCATAGGATCGACTTAGAGGATAAAGGAGAATTTCCATATTCTTCGGAGAATAAGAGATATTTCCATATCGCAAATATGGAAATATTTACCAAAGGGAAAAAGGAAAAGGAGTTCGGAGCAACCAACCTCCTATCCCTATAAATAAGAAGACCCCGAAGCTCAAGAGAACAACTCATACAATCTAGAGAGCAGGAGAGCTAAAACCAGGAACTCCAACGCTTTCTAGCTTACTTCGCAAACAATTTCTTTTCATCTCGGCATAACCTCTCGGTTAAGCCATCTCTTGTAATCTCTTCGCTTTACAGCTACTAAAAGATCTTATTCTCTGAAACCCACAACTGTTAATCAAATCCTTAGTGGTAATTTTCTGGTTCAACACTAAGATAAGTTTACAATTTTTTCTAATCTTTTACATTTCTCGATAATATCTAGAAATTTCTGAATCATAGTAGAATCCGATATATATATAAGCTATATGTTTATAGTTTTAATGA